TATCTGCTGGGTAGACTTCAAACACAGGGTCTCCTAACTCTGCAAACTCATTGTTTGCTGACTCAAATTCTTGCATCCACTCTACATTAGAGGCACTGTGTTAGAACTTGCGGATTCGGACGACTCCGGAATGGAATCGGAGACTTAGCATGGAAGGACCTCGGCCTCAGCAACTCAGGCGGAGCGCTGTGCCATTGCTGGTTGTCCTAGGGGTCCCTAATTTCGGATCTAGCAGAGGGAAAGTCTCTTGGGGGAATTCATGTCGATTTCGGACTGAGGTTACAAGTTACTAGGTACATTGTATATAAGGAGGGGTCTGGAATCAAAAGGAACAAGGGTAGGACAAAAGGAGACAAAGGGAGATGGAAAGAGGAACAACACCGAGGGTCAAGTGTTTGACTCAATGGTGTTTCCCAAAGGAGGAATGAAGGGCCAAGACCCAAGAAGGAAGGAAGGAGGATGGGAGTCGGGAATGGCTAGCTGACTGAATAGAAAGGAAGCAGCAGCCCAAATAGGAATGAGGGAGAATAGCGGAATTGAAATGGACAATGCAATAGTTGCAAGGTCCGGAGTAAGTCTGGAAAGTCCGAACTCGGAGGTTAAACTCTGGAATATTGGCAAAGGTAATTAAATGGAATGAGCTAACCAATACAATGGGTATAAGCGGAGGTGGGGTCAAAGTCCGAGGTCGGAACTAAGACCGGAGGTTCCGGAGACGAGACATGAACGGGATACCGGAGCGGAGGTCCAGAGTCGGGAGCATAGGTTTTGCATACTCATCTGGAAGGTGTCGAGGTTGGGGTCGGACCCGGAATGTTCCGGAGTCGGACCGAAGGTGGTGTCCGAGCCAGAGGTGGGATAACCTCTTGGGAGTCGGCAAGGAGAAAGTGATGGAAGGGTAGGGCTCTGGAAGTCGGAGTTCGGAGTTCCAGGAGCCCGGAGCGGAGGTCGGGATTGTATGGATATGACACACTGCTCACATGCCTAGCTCTCTTGCAAATCAATTCGCAAGCCCTCCTGAAACTCCTTCCCACCTGGGAAGCCTAGTTCCATCTGCCATTACCAATCGATTCTCAGCATCATACTTCAGTACTCCAGCTGTGACAAAAGCTTGCATCTCTGGGAAATTTTTGACTCCATGTCCATGTCCATCACACATATAGCACTTCCACACACCCAAAGGACTAGTTCTGGGTCTTTCTGAGATCTTTGTCAACTGCAACATCAATTTATTGATCCGCTCTGCTAAATCATCCATATTGGACTTAAATACAGAGTCGGGCTCTGGTCTAGTTGCTTCCTTCTTCAACTCAGTAACCTTGGGTGGCTCTGTCAAACTCTTTGGCTGCCTCTTAGGAGGTGTCCTCCTATCAGCCTTTGACTCTGCTTGCCTATGCCTATAAAGTTCCACTCTCTCCTCAAAATCTGACTTGTCTGAGTCTGATCCACCATCATCTGTACTTGGCTCTGCCATAGCCTTGTACTCCTTCTCTGATTCTGTCTTGTCATCCAACTCTACATCTCGGTAGAGATCCTGCTGCAAAAACATCTTCACCAGTTTCACCACCTCTTCCATAGATGGTGGCAGCATCAAATCCGTCCACACATTCTTTGCCCTGAGCTCCTGCCCTAACATCTTCTGTAAACTCTTTGGCTTTATTCCTCGATAAAAGTAATCATCTCTCTCGGAAGTAGTCAAGACTGCTCTTCCTGCCAGCGAAGCTACCATGACCCTGAATTTCTGGTGGTACCTGTCTAAATCAGACCTCCACTTAATCTTCCTGTCTGCCTCAACAAATCTCCTAAGATCCTTGATGCGGTATATCTTGTCCTCATGCTCTGCAGGGTAGAAGTTCAACATGTCCGCTTTGAGCTGAGGCCAATCCCCATCTCGCCAGCTTGACAATGTGTGTATGAACTTCGTCTCCCTGTCTGTACAATAGGTCAAGATATGCTTGCATCTTTGATCATCCAACAAATGTGCCCCATTGGCTAACAACTCAAAATCAAACAAAAACTTCTTAACCTTCGTTCCTTTGAAGTGTGGGGCCTCTCGACTATGAGACCCAGGCATACATGTAATCATGGTGGTATGAATTGTGGCGGCAGCGATGCCTGCCGGAATTTGGGGAGGTAGGGGATGTGGTTGGGGAGGGAGGGGGAGAGCAACTCCTCCAGTATTCGACATAACTTCTACAAAAGATGTGAAAATAAACTGGTTGATGAATGCTAGACACTCAGCTAGTGCATGTGTGCATCCAGAAGACTATTCTCAAGATAGTACCCCAAGTAAAGGCTCAACTCTCAATGTAAGAAACCGCAGCACACTGTAGCCCCCCTGTAAGGACCACCAGAAATGCAAGTGGGAATCTGATACTGTCTCCAGAAAATGGAAGGTAGCACTCCAACTCACTCCCCAAAAGCTAGGGAAGAAAGAGAAAGGGGGCTGAAAGGGTGTTGCGGTAAGAACAGGTCTGTATATTCAACGGGGGGGGGGGGAATTTCAGGGAAAAATATAACTCTGGTAACTCTTGCTTATCTTCTTTCCATGGTGGATTTCCATCACAATAGCCCTTTACCAATCATGTGGCCACTCACAGCACCCAAGTACATGGACTTTAAAAGTAGTGGGAGGGGGGGAAATCTCCTATTCTGTTTCAATCACTATGTACATATACCCATACAGCAAACATACAATTTGTGAAAAGAGTCCGAAATATATGGGTTTGGCTGAGCTAAGCCTCCACCAACAACAGTGCTAAGGTTTGGCTGCTGTTGGCATAGAATAAAGTCCCAAACAACAAAAGAAATTGAAAAGGAAAACACAAACTTCCTCATACCACTCCAAACACTGCGTCAAACCTCCGTCCCTTTATATTGTAATCTGAAAAAGGTGGCCACACCAGGATTCGAACCAGGGACCATCCAATGTATATTTGGAGGTGATAACCACTACACCATGTGTGTCAGAGACCAGACTTGAGACGAAGGAATGTCTCCGCAACGGAGGGCTTTGGCCTCAGCGACTTCTGCCAGGAGCGCTGTGCCTAGTGACACGTCCGTGCCCTAACTTACTGACTGGCACTTAGAACCTAGGGGGGGTAACTCTAGTTGATTTATCTGCTGGGGCGTAACCTATGTACAAGTGGTGTATATATATGGTTACAGTGGAGACGGTTCCGCAATTGGCGGAGCCGAACGGAGCGGAGCTAACAGGGTTAAGACATTAGCCGACTGAATATTACCGACGAGTCGGTTCGCGGGGTTAGCGGAAAGGCAGGCGTTAACCCAGAAACGGAAAGGAGGGATAGGCCCGAAGGTGGGCTCTGCAGGGCAGGCGAGTGTATTGCCCAGCGGAGGTGGGAGTGCGCTAGTGGACGTCGGAGCTGTCCGGAAGTCTTCGGGGCTCCGTACTTAGGGAGGCATAGGTAATAAATTGAAATGAGGGGGTGGTGACCATCGAGGGGTACCGAGAGGTTTGCGGAATACGGGGGCTCCGAGGTTGGTGAGGGGGGAGCGGAGTTAGAACGGAGGGATCGGAGAGACCGGAAGTCGATGGCCGGGGATGGATATGACAATGTGGCCACGACTGGTTCTCTAGGAGCCTGTAGATCTTATCGACTACTAGGTCTATTGACTACAACACTTTATTCCATCCGACTCTCCTTATCCATAGCTTTCTAATGATACCGATTTTGTGAAATTTGGTGGAGATTTGACTGAGAACAGGAATTCTCAGATGCGGTATACATATCTTGATTATCTGTGCACAGGGAAACTTGAACCAAATAAAATGCCATAATTCCAAGACTCCTCCAATGACTGCTTCAGCATTTATATCATTTGAATAGCCCATATTTTCATTGAGACTAGCTTGCACGTGAGCATCCGAACAGTTCATATCATCCCATGACTCCAGTCATGCCCGACAATCAGAATATCTCCACAACCACTGAACCGATTAGGGGGAAATTCAACACTGAGTCTTTGGGCATTTTCCTGGATTTAATGACCCCGAGATCGTCCTCTTCCATCAACTTTTGACCTTGTTCCCATGGTCATGGTCAAGTGTACAAACTTTGCACATGAGGTTGAATTTCTCCACCAATTCTCAACCAATTCCTTCATGGAAAGGCTCTTTCGGTTCGTACGAAAACCCTCTTTCTTCTTTTTCATTACTCCCTCCTACAATTCCTTTTTCCTAATAATGTACAAGGGCGGGAGCCCAATTTTTGACGTATTTGCTGCATAAGGTTCCATGAAATTGAGCACACCCATTATGCACTCCTACAGTGTGCATAGAACTGAGTGGCACAACGGTCTCTGGCACAAAGATGGTGCTTGCCACTCCTCATCTGGCAATGCTGGGAGCTGTAGTCTCCATCAGCAGAATGCATGTGTCTCATGATGTTACCGCGAAGCTGGCCAAGTGGCCCCCCTGCAAAAATCCGTCAGAAGTACAAGGATTCCTAGGTACCGTGGGTGTTGTCAGATGATGGATCAAGGACTTCACAAAAATCGCTAAGCCACTCACCTTACTTACAAAGAAAATGGCACCCAATGAATTCAGGTGGACTCCTGAAGCTGAGGAGGCAATGCAACGGCTCAAGGACTTAGCAGTCAATGCAGCGCCGATCTGCTCATTGGACTTCGAGCTGGCTTCTCAAGTTAAGCCCAAAGGCCAGCACAACAGCGATCTAGGGCTGGTTACAATTCAAGTGGACTCTTCTGTGGTTGGCATCGGATGGGTTATCCAGCAGTGCCTCAAGGAGGACAATTACCCCATTATTTTTGGCTCCATTACGTTCAACTCTATGGAAAGTCGTTATTCACAGCTGAAACTTGAGTTATATGGTGTACTTCATGCATTCAAGGCCAAAAGACATTGTCTATATAATATACATTTCAAGTTACAAGTGGATGCATCTGCTCTGATCCAGATGATAAACTCCCCCAACTTGCCCAATGCCGCTATGACATGATGGATAACTTATATCCTCATGTTCAGCTTTGAGATTGAGCACAATCCTGCTGACAAGCACAAGGCCCCAGATGGATTGTCAAGATGTCGGCAGGCAGACGAGGATTCCAACTTCAGTGATGGGGAGATTGACATTGAGGAGGGTGTGAAGTTTCTCAAGCTGCTAGACCTTGAACAAGACAAGGATTTCTGTGAGATGTCCATGGCCGAGTTCCTGACTGAGGAAATCGATCCCTGTGAAACCTCTAAGATCAACAAGACCCGACTTGATAGACACAGGGGGGAATGCATGCCCCTAGAAGTCAGATGGGAGAATCCCACCCACATTAAGTGCCTGATAGGTAGAACCTATCACATCTGCAAAGGTAGAGTAGTCGAGGACAACCCTAATGGGTCCAGGCCAGATCGCATAAGGCATGCCCACCAAATCGATGAGTACGACTCTGAGCAGTACTGGCAAACCGTTCTAAGGTTCCTATTGACGGGAGTGCCCCCTAGCGACAAGAAGGAGGTGACGAGGCTTCTCCATTGAGCCAAACAATTCCTCATTCAGGACGGAGTACTTTGGAAGCGGAATGGCGACAAGCCACTCCTACAAGTTGTCTTGAGCATTGACATTAGACATCGGATCATAAGGGACATGCATGATGGCAGCGGCCACTGGGGATGCGACCCCACATACTTCAAGATCAAAGACTCATATTGGTTCCCAAATATGTACAAATCCATGGCACAATACTGCTGAACTTGTCATGAATGCCAGTTAAGATCCGTTAATAAAGATACCATCCTGATCCAGCTGCAATATGTGCAGACTCTCTTGTGACATTTTGACTCAGACACTGTAGCCATACCACGAGGGAAAGGAGGCTACAAGCACCTCATAGACCTCACTGATAATCTGACCAGATGGACTGAAGTGAAGCCACTCAAGAATAATATCAAGTCAGAAAATATTGCCAAATTCCTATTCGATGTTATGTGTCGGTACAGCTGTATTGTACAGTTCACGGTAGACAATGGGAGTGAGTTCCATGGTGCAGCACAAGTTCTCATGGACAAATACAACATGCCCATCATAAGAACTTCAGCATACAACCCTGCTGCTAATGGCAAAGTTGAGTGCAGACATGGTGTCTGGATCAAAAGTATCTGGAAAGTGCTCAAAGGCCACACTAACGAGTGGCCTGACCTTGTAGGCTACACCCTTTGGGCAGACAGAGTTACCACTAAGTCCATGATGGGCTATTCCCCCCTACTACTTGCTGTATGGACAGCACCTGCTTATGCCCTTCGACGTCATGGACAGGACATTCTATGCATTGGATTGGCCCTCTGTGTATATAACTAAAGACCTTCTAGCCATGAGAATCTGCCAGATTAGCCAGAGAGACGAGTTCCTTGACTGGGCAGTGGCCCAGAACTATGATGCAAGAAAGAAGGCAGCTGATAGGCACTATCACCGCCATGCTGCCAGGATGAAGGATGGCGACTACCAGCCTGGAGAGTTTGTCCTTGTCACAAATGAAAGGATTAAGCTGCAGCATGACCAGAAGGGCCAGCCACGATGGTTTGGACTGTATATGGTAGTCAAGAGGCTCTGCAGTGGTGCCTTTGTCTTGCAAGAACTAGATGGGATGGTCCTCAAATGTCCAGTGGTGTGGAAACAAGTCAAGTTGTACCATTTTAGAAATAACAAAGAACCAATAATCCGAGAACCCATTAAGCTTTCCAAAAGTTATGAGGAACTAGACAATGAGGCAAATTACGTGTCCTATGCCACTAAGTCCAGGCAGCCGACCCTGCCCAAGCCCTGGGAGCTCAAGGGCAAGAAGCTAGTTGAGTATTGGGAAGAGAAATACGAGCGCATGTGTGCCAGGGCCGAGAATCCAGACCTGAGGTTCCCTCCAAGCCAACATGAATGTGGACTCGGGAAGTTCATTGATGAGGACGCACAATTCTGGGATTTTTGCTACACCACTCAAGACAGGGAAGATGGTGACCTGAAATGGTTCAAGACCTTGCCTCCTGGCCACCCTGATTTATTTGATTGGCTGCCCTGGGGCAGAAAGGGCTCTTACATTCCTCAGAATTCTTATTCCACACAAAGCGATCCCAAGCATGAGTTAGAAGTTAAGTTATTATTGGGCAAGCCAACTATTGAGGTTATACACTCAAACAAAAGCCCCATGGCCATTACCACTCTCGCCACTGAGGCCAGTGGCCCAACTAATGATGAAACTCCCTTAAGAACTATACAACAAGAGCTTGACCACTACCCCCTGTTTCCCTTCGAGTGCTCCATGGCCTATGGCAACTCTAACACACCACACACACATCACAGTAGGAGTTGAGAACGCTATCCACGCCACTCACCAGAACCCACCTGCAATCAAGGCCCCAGTTGGTATTCCCCATGAGGAAGAGGTTCATCATATAGACCTCAAGAAGGCAGACACGCCTTCTGACAATCTCCCATCTGGCAGCAAGAGACAGATAGTGAGCACACCATACCAGAGCTCCAAGCTAAGGTAGACCAGACCATGGCACTAGTAGACAACAAGACAGCACCTAGAAGAACGGCATTGCCATCCCCTAGGTCAACTTCTGTGGCGCCACCCATTCAGAAGGCTGCACCACCCACTGATAGTTCCATTGAACCAAGCAAGATGCCTGTAGTCTTAGTACCACACACCCCTGAGCTTCCTCGATGGAGGCAGAGGCCTGGAGAGTGGACTGCTGCACCCACTTTGCCATCAGAACAAAGAGATGTTCGTAAATTTCTGTCAGAAGTCACTGCCATCAAAGAGAAGGCTGAGGAGGAACCCAGGAAGCCACCCATTCCATACAATCTAGTGCCCCATCCTCCCCACCTCCCTTTCATAGGATCAGACGAAGACACTCAGGACCTTATCAACCAAACCCTCAAATGTCTCAATGAGCTCACAGATTCAAGTTTCCTCCTCAAAAGCGCTCACAAAGGACAGGCAGATATCTTATTTAATAAGCTTAGCAATCTAGAGACCCTCACTCAGCATATTAATGAGCGCACAGTGACTCTCATGGATGGGTTCAAGCAGACATTGTAATGGGTCTATCACCACTAGACTCAAGACAGAAGAGAGGGGGAGGGTTGGAGTGGTTGCATGCACAGGTTTGTTAACTTGGAGTGGATTCTGCTACTCCTCACTGTCTAGCTAACTATACAGCTGGTCACAGTATCATGGAAGAATCTGAAAATGACAAATGTGGAAAGAACAATAAGAAAGGGAAACATCAGGCTCTAGTGACTAGAAATGGAATCAGAAAAATCAGGAAAAATAAGAAATATGCAGGAGAGAACATTGGCTAAGGGTGGTAGAATGGTGGGATTTGGCTTGTTTATATGTAGTACACCAGCAAATTCCCGTTACAACATCGGCTAACGTGCTCAAAACCTACAGCTTGTTTGAGCTTGAATTCAAAAAGATGGTCGATGCAGCCCAGGCAATCCAGGCTATGTTTCTGGCCCTCCATGAGGACACCCTTTCTAATGATGACTATTACTACATCATACATGAATGCCTCCTTGGGATCAAGAGAAGGATCCTCAAAGTCATGCCCAGGTCCAACCAGAAGTACCTTGACTTCGTCAGGAATTCTATAGTCTTCTTGGACACATGGGAAACCATAGTGCCTAAGATTTCACATGCAAGGGATTTTATGGAGAAAGACATTAAGACTGATGAGCAGGCCCATTGGGTTGGGAACATAGACAAAAACTCCATCAAGAAGTTCTTTGGTGCCATGCCCAAATTTCAACCACCTGCTGCGATCCCCAGAGACCCTAAGGACACACCCACTAATGTCAAGCCAGTACCTAAGTCTCCCAGCCCCATGGATGAAGACCTTAAGGTGATGCGAGATGTTAAAGGGAAAGCATGGGCCCACACTGATGAGGATTCTGCCTTGAAGAAGACCTCAGTGTCACATAGAAGTTCTGGTCAGGAATGATATTGATTCCACTGCCCTCCCTCTCATAATGAACCAATTGCCTGGGCCCATGTATTTATCCACTTGCCAATGCAACAAGCCTGCCATTTCGTATTACAATCACACTTGTTTTATTTATACATTAAGGATGTTGAGGATATTGTGAGGGACCATGATCAAGAGCAAGGCCTATATGTTGTGGGGACAAGTCTGTGCATGGTAAAAAATCCGATTCTGCAGAATTTGCCCACCAACATGCACTACATATCCGCTGATGCTCCCAATGCTCATTATATCACTATCCAAAACTCCATACACTCACTCCTTATTTTTCCATATTTTCCCCATCATTCCCAACAACCCCAAGCAAAATTCCCATGCCCAACCATGCTGCCAATTTCACCCCCTCACAACCCAGCTGTTTTTCTGTTGGAGGAACCATGTGCTATGGGAGGCCAGACAAGTTTTCGTACAGCCACATTCCCACATCCGAGTGAGGAACTCCCCCAGACAGCCACATTCCCACGCTAGCATGACTACTTAGTCACAACACCTCTTTTATATTATTTCGGACTAACCCATGCCAGGCCATGGATATATTCATTCATTTGAATTCATTTCCTTTTCCCTCAGTTCTTCACGCATATTAGCTGAGACTGAGGTTAGTTATAACATTCCTTTATTACTATTTCCTTTACTATTGTAACTTACAATATGTACATTACCTTCAGCTTCCCGCTTATAGTCCAGCTCCGAGATCAAGTGTCACTCATCAACACTTATGGCCAAAACGATGTCATCGCTCATCCTGCCAAACCTCATGGCTGACCCTTCACGGCACTTGCTCAGGCCAACGCTCTTGTCCGAGCCAGACGGATCAATTGCTACCACCTTTCCAACCAGGTTGCATGCTGTCAGGTTGACATGTCCTATGGTCGAGCAGGCACTGTCATCCATCCAGATGGACAGCCCAGCTGAGCACTCCTCTGTACAGTCCCCTCAAGTCTGAGCAGTTGCATGAGTTACAACATGTAGAGTTGTGTTGGACTGTCCAGTCAGATCGACTGGTTGCCCCCTCATGGTGTCCACCCGAACTGGCATGCTTGGACGAGTCAGATGGCTCGGTATCTGCCCATCCATCGACTGCAATGTGCACTAACAGGTTGGTGTGTCATATGGTCAAACAGACATCGTCTCTGTTGGAATTTGTACACATGGTCTCAGGAACCTTAATGCATAAAATATGGACATTCTGGGAGTCGAACCGCAGAGCCCTGCAAGGTACCTAGAGTGTGTTACCATTACACTAAATGCCCACATTAGGCAGAGGTGGTTTCTAACAGTCTCCTGCCCAGCTGGAACCCCTGGCTACATCTCTGCATCGTCCTCACAACTCAGAGTGCTTGCAGGCATCACATCTGCCCAGGGTGGTCTGTCCATCAAGCACAGCACCCGCTATCAGCACAAGGCATCACCCAGTCAAATCCACGCTCCCGAAGGCCCAGTTGGACCCATCAGTCATTCCTTTGCATCGCATTTTTGAAACATCGTACTCATGTGCATCTGATCAACCAGTTGCAGCCTGTCTGCTTAGCGCGACACTTTTCGACAACCTAACGCACTCGATAGTCCAGTTGGACCAAATGGCAGCTTCTATACAGCACCCACATGGGTGTTGTAGTTAGTTCTCTTCATTTTCTATTCAATCTGTGCTCCATATAGTGTCATGTGACTGCCAAGTCGCTCTTTACTGTTCTTACTACTGTAATAACACTAAACTGCTACTCAGACTGAGGTATCCTGCTGAGATACAATATCCACTTCTTGAGTTTGAGACATTCCTGGGCATTATGGCCTTTTCGATCGCAATAGCCACATCCAAGGTCAGAATTTGAAGTAGACACAGCAGGGAGAGGTGTAGAGGTGTGGAGTGCCATGATATTCAATGATTTTGCCCAGGTTTCCTCAGCTGTGACAAGTGCTGATTCAACATCATTGCTAGTGAGGGTAGGCTTGGTGAGGAGGGTCTCAGTGAGGGTAGAATAAGCAGGGGTGCTGCTAATGAGCACAGAAGTGGAGAGCTCAGCATCAAATGTTTCCACCTCGTATTTTTCAGGTCTGGCATTGATAAACGATTGCTGTGCATTGTGGACTCGTGAAATAAACATGTTGAAATTCGTTCATCAGGCTATTGGGTGAGTGATAGAAACAATTTGAGCACATTGAAATGCATTCCGGCATTTGAGACACCATAAGTGGACTTCAACTCTCCCAAAACATCTTTGGGGTCATCCAGCCCAGCAATTATGGCTTTAAGAGCAGGTTCCACACTTCTCCTGATCAGACCAAGTGCCTTCTTTTTGGCAAGAGTGGCTTCATGGGCTTTTCAGCTGGCAGTGTGACTGTGCCATTGATAATGCCCCAGTAGCCTTTGTTGCACAGCAAATCAGCGATTTCAGCATACCAGGCGTGAAAATTGGCAGGATTGAGCTTAACAATGGAGTCTGAGGTGGTTTCAGATGACATGGAAAGTAGGATGTGATGTGGAGTGGGATAAGCGAAGTGACAGGCATCTAAGTGCGACAGAAGATAGTGTGTCGAGCATAGTATGTGATGTACGAGATTCGAATCGAATCGCCCAGCACAGAGGGTGTTAAGAGAGAAGTTTTGACCACTGGCACTTAAGTGGGTGGTTAAAATAACAGTGTAATCAATGTTGGGGCTGTGGCCAACAGAGTGATGCGATCGCGACGAAACTGAGGGACAAGCGTGTGTGCGGTGCAACAGATGTCGTGTATGAGTTTCAAAGCGATGCGTGAAGAAACCGAGCCACAGGAGCGATGTTTAGAGCAAGTTTTTGCAGAGTATTGAAGAAATCAAATAGCATCATTGTCAGAGTTCTTCAAGCCAGAGGGCTCATAACCTATTATATTGTAGTCTGAAAAAGAGGCCACACCAGGATTCGAACCTAGTGTTGTGGTTATTTCTATTTGTTTTCTATTCAATCTGCACTTTCTATAGTGTCATGTGACTGCAGAGTCGCTCTTTATTGTTCTTAGTTGTGTAATAACACTAAAGTGCAACTCAGACTGTGCTATCTGCTGAGTTATAATAGATTGTGGGTAGCTAACAGAACATCAGATGGTCAGATGTCAGATGGCAGTGGTGGAACCAGAGACAATGGGGGAGCACTCAGGGTAACTGTCTTGGTTAGTTCAGGAGTTCGGAATGTAATACTGCTTGAGACCCAATCAATCAATGGATTGTAGTGGGTAAGCCAGTTGTGTCCTAGGACTAGTGAACATAATCCATCCAGCAATGTGACAAAGTGACAAAGAAAGTCATGGGGGTGATGTTTCCAGAAGCAAAGTGGAGGGAAATATCAATGGCATGGGTTATGATGGAATTTATGGTGCCATCAAAGAGGTGTAATTGTAATGGTTTTATCTGGTATGTCTTCAAGGCGAGCTCCTTCACAAACTTGTCATCAATGAAGCAGTCCAAACACCCAGAATCTATGAGTGTGGGGATGTTCTCATAGGAGTGGAAAAGTTTGTTGTTTGTCCTTTCTTTGGATAGGGATGCAGGTGTTGTAGTCAACCTTTTTCAGATTACAATAGCAGGGACAGGAGAGGTAAGAGAAGAGAAAAGAAGAGAGGTGGAGCAATCTATGGAGGTAGGAGGTGGTGGAGGAGGAGAGAGTGAATTGACAACACTATCTACAATGGGTAGAACATTAACCAGAGGGTCAACATTGAAAGGAGCAAATAAACCATTCGAAAGAGAGAAAGAAATGGGAATGTGAAGGGAGGACAAGTTGGTAATGGAGGACGTGTTTAGACATATTTCCTTGAGTGCATGGAGGAAAGAATCGCAACCCCTGGTCTGTGCAGAGTCCACAGGGGTGTGGACTAATTTTTTGCTTCTGCGGAAGTGGACCCTTGCTCAGTGATCTTGGCTGAACAGGCCTTAGACATGTGAGAAGTGTTTGTGGAATATGCAAAGTTTCTTGTTGAGACAGTGCTGTAGTAACTCAGGTTAGCACCCCTGGGGCAGTCTGAGATAGACTTTAGCCTTGATACAATAAGTAGAAAGGATAAAGTCAACCTCAAAGTCACATGACTATATATAGAGTGAAGATTGAAAGAAAAGAGACACCTCAAACTACAACAAGTGCTTATGCTCTTGTGGCATGAGTTTGCCATTGTCTCCAAGTTTTGATGAGAGTTGGAGCTGGCCTTGGACTTTTTGCTGTCCTTCACAGGCTTGCTGCCAGAAGCGGGATTGTAAGAGGTGGAAGGGATGGTGTCAGAGTGGGAAGTGGTAGTGGTCTTGTTGAAGACATTGGGGGTGGGGGTTTTGCATGACAAGTCACTTCAGTTTTGTGCTCCCAATAGCGTGCATCGAAGGTCTGTGATAATATGCAAAGTTCTGAAAGGGTGGTTGGTTTCCCCCGTGAAGCTGTGAGGCATGTTAATTGAACTCAATGATGTACTTGTTAATGTGATGACCATCCTTCATGTCTAATGTCACAAGTTGGACTTCGGCATTGCCCACAAGATTGTGGGGGCCAAAATTGGTCTGGAGTTCATTCACGAACTCTTGGTAACTATTCATCCAATGTGGATGAAGTAGAACATTTTGATCAAATATCCAGCTCAAACCAATCAAGAGCCATCCCCTTGAGGTAGGACTGTGCGAAGATAACCTTGGCATGGTCACTAGCAAAGGCAAGGGGGCGGTCCTGGTGTTGTGGTCAGACCATCTGCTCCTAGAGAACAGGCCTATGGCTACTTACTGGCCATATGGTGTAGTGGTTAACACCTCCAAATATATGTTGGATGGTCCTAGGTTCAAATCCTGGTGTGGCCTCTTTTTCAGACTACAATACCTGGAAGTTTAGTTCACACTGGACCAGGAATACTTGAAGGGTGCAGGGTTCCATTCCATCAAACTGTTTGGGCTCGTGGACCTTAGTCTGGAGAGTGGAGGATGGTGGGGGAGGTGGATGACTGGCATGA